CGTCGGCGCTGACGCTCCGCCCGCCGCCGGCGGCGGGCCACAACCCCCCGCCGGCGGCGACCCCCTACATGGTCGCGACGCACGCCGACGCGGGGCTTGCCATAGGCGCGCTCGCCGCGGCGACGGCGGCCCACAGCCCCCCCGCGGGCATGCGCACGCGCGGCCACGTCTGCCACCTGCTGGTGCAGCCCGGCAGCGCAGTGCACCTGCAGGTGCAGGCGGCGCTTGGAGGGGGCGGCGGCGGCGGCGGCGGCGCCTTTGAGGACGCTGACATCACCCTCGTGTACGAGTTCCCGGGCGAGGAGGGCGGCGGCCTTGCAGGCAAGCGCATCGCCTCCGGCGAGTTCTTCAACGGCGCCTCCGAGCGCGCTGAGTCTGCAGAGGCCGCCGCCGGCAGCGGCAGCGGCAGCCGCAGCCGCAGCTGCGAGCTGCTCCCCTCGGTGTGCTTCACCCCCGCGGGCAGCTCCGCCGGCGCCGCCCTTGTCGTGCGCCTGCGGCTGACCGAAGCCGGGCAGCTGCCGGCTCGCGGCTGGCCCGTCGCGGGCGACGTGGTGTTTGCCGCCTCGGCGCGCTGGCGCGACCCCGAGCGCCTCTCCGCGGCCGAGGCCGCCGCCGGCGCCCTCTGCTGGCGCCCGCCGCTCTTCTCCAACTACAGCCGCCGCACGGGCGCCAACCGCGGCGGCGGCGGCGGCGGCGGAGGAGGAGGAGGTGGGGGGACGGCCGCGAGCGGCGAAACGGACAGCATCGGCCACCGCGTCAACCACATGGTGCTGTCGCCCTACCACGGGCGCCACGCCTCGGCCGCCCGCGAGGCCGAGCACTATGCGCTCTGGCTCGAGGTCCTGGAGCTCGTGTACGCGGGCGCAGTGCACGACATGTTTGCGGGCCCGCTGCTGGCCGAGTTTGAGGCCACTGTTTCGTCCTGGACAAACGACCGCTACCTCAGGGACGCCCTGTGCCTGCACCGGCTGATCAAGTCGCGCGTCGCGGTCGGCGGGGAGGAGGCCCGCCGCCGCCGCCGCGCCGCCGCGCGC